ACCCTGGTCTAGGCCGTGCCAGGCAGCAGGCGCACAGCTGTTCGAGATGGAAAGAGGCGGGCACCAAGCCTCATCAGTGTCATTGTCCTCACTGAGCAGAAATGAATCCTCAATCTAGGCAGCCTTCAAATCCTGTCATTAGCAAAGTGGCCAAATGTGCACTTGAGTCAGCTTCGTAAACTTTCAGAGCAAGGGCATCTAGAGGCCGGGGCTCAGGAGAGGACTCATCAGACTGAGCTCCGGAGCATCCTGTGCTCGCCTGTGCCTTGTCCCTTCTGTCCTTGCCCTGGGAGGGGGGGGTGGCCCTGTCCCCACCTGTCCCTGCCCAGGAGGCCTGGCATTGGGTCACTGCTACTGAGACCCAGGATGGGAGCACTCAGGCGATAAACAAATGTGTGACCCAACTGGAGGTGATGGCGGGCAGTCAGGCAGAGGAAGGAGCGGAGGATGCACATTTCCACCCAGCCACATGCAAGAAGCTGAACGTGCCCTGACCACCCTCTCAGAGCCCTGCTTGGCAGGCAGGGCAAGGTCTCGCTCCTGTAGGGATGGAGACGCGGGCCTGAGTAGCCGGGGAGCTCAGGGCCACACCGGGGAGCCTGGTGACTCGTCTTGTTCCGCGGGCCCGACCAAGGCCGATGTGAAACAGGACAGGCAGTTCTGGGACCTGTCCTAGGAGAGACCCTGAGACACAAGAATCCTCGGGGTCGGCCAGGGCAGGGACAATGCACTCAGATTCTGATGCCGAGATCCAGCATCAGAGGCTTCAGATTCTACTCCCAGGAAGAGGAAAGCAGGAAGGGCCCTGCAGCATGAGAAGGAAACCGTGCTCCGGAAACCACAGGGAGTGGGGTGTGGCTGGGGGCTTCATGCAGCCCTACGGAGTGGAAGGAGGATGCCCAACACCGTGGGCTCTCATCTTCATCCTGCCACAGTGCACTGCTAGCACCTGTACCATACTCAGGGTTGTACATCCGGTTCAGTTGAGGAAAAGCATCGTGCTGGGGAATCAGGGCAAATCACAATGCTGTGGGTGCTGTAGGTAAATCACACAACCGCCGAGGTACTAGCAGGGCACACCAAGGACCAAGGAGCCTGGCTGGCTGACACTCAGGGAGGTGGTACACCCGTGGACACGTGTAGAAAACACCTCGTGTGCAGTACAGACGCCGGGAGTCACACGAGCTACTCCTGCCGGGTGCTGCTGTGTGAGGTGTGGCTGGTGCCTCACACCAAGAAATCGTGTTTTCCTGTGGGCAGGTTCCCTTTCCCATGTATGCACTTTCTCTCACCTGCTGTTTGAAGACTGAGCTGTGCACCACTACTTCCGGTCAGCTGTGGAGACAAACCCCCCGACACGACGGTAACTCTGACAGCGGTGGCCTTCTGCCTTTTCTGTAAGCTCCTGGCAGTTCTTGAGTGTGTTTATAGAAAGTGAAAGGTCTGTTCCTGACCACAGATGCTGCCGCCCCGTGGAGAAGATGGAGCCCTGAGCTGGGGTCAGAGGTCAGTCAAGGTCAGGGGCTGCGCCATGTGGCACCCTGCGGAGTGCTGGTGCAGTGCAGGAGGCCTGGCAGTGTGTCTGCTAGTGCACAGAGTGGCCTCCCTGCTGTCTTTCTCCAAGGGTCCCCAACACAAGACAGGAAGCCGGCAGTGCCCGCCTGCCCCTGCTCCACACAGGGGAAGGGGAAGAGGGAGGCCTCCCACAGCCCGTAGGGTGCCAGGCTGGTAGCACTTGAACGCCCAGGGAGTGGGCATAGGAACCCACACCTGGCTGGCCCTGCCCGGAGCTGCTCCACTGACCCCGCCTCTCACTCCCCACTCTGCACGGCCTGGGAACCTGCATGTGGATGCCTGTCTCCCGCAGTCACAGCCAGCTGAGTGGGTCAAAGGGCTGGTGCCCTGCGTGGCTCCTCACAGGTGCCTGCAGTCCCCGGGACCATGAGACCATCATGGCAAGGGGGAAGAGCAGCCCAATGTCCCATGCCCTTCGGGGGCCTCTATGTACAGCTCTGGCCTGGGTCACAGCCACACTGAATGGGGAACTCTGCCCCCTAGGACCCTGACTTGAAGCCCCCTCTGCAGCCAGGCACAAGGCAACATCTGGTCACCATGGTGGGACACTGGTGCTCTCACAGCGCACAGAGCCGCTGCAGGTCAACAGTGAACACAGGTCATGGTCTGACCATTAGTTAACCAAACCCATGCATGGCGGGTACCAAACAGGAAATGAACACTGTGCACAAAAGGCCTCAATTCCCTGAACTCACTGCAGGTCAATTCTGAGAGTTTCTGAAAGCGTGGCATCAACCCAGGTGCAGCTAGGTAGGAAACAGTGCAACCCCTGCAGGCCACTGTTCAAGGAGGGTCACAGACTGAACCGAACAGAATTCTGACATACATCCTGCAGACTGGCACTGCCACCCAGAGAAGAGTAGAGTCACCCTTCATCATCCTCCCTAGACCCACCTGCAGATGAGGTTCATCTCCATAGAGAAAGCAAAGCTTTTATCACCTTTCACTAACGTCTTTCTTTCTGGAATCCTTCTGCTTGGGGTTGTGTGGCCCACCTGTTGATCACATCTTAGAATCATTTGTGCTGTTCCCTCTTTTGACAGATTGTGACTCAGGCTACTGCTGTCTGGAGTGTCCTGTAGCGGAATCCAGTGCAGACTGGATCCACACTGTCTGTGGGGCTGCGTCCTCAGTCTCCTGTAGACTAGGTGCAGGCTCCCGGTTTGGAACCCAAAGACTCCCTGCTACTGTCCTCATGGCAGGATCTCCTGTCTGAAAAGTGCCAAGGGTGTGCCCTGTGCCAGCTTGAGCACTGGGTTTGGAGCTCCCTGCCTCTCTCTGGGTGGTGGGTGTTAAGGTCCCCTCCGGAGAATTGAGTTTCCAGCCTGGGGCTCTCGCCCAGGACCTGTGAAGCCCTGCGTGTTCCTGTGCCTCTTACCAGCCCTCACGAGCACATCCCATCTACCCTGGGCCCTGCTGTGACCTGGCTGGTGATTGCCAGCGTGTTGGAGTGCAGCCTGTGTGGTGTGCTTAGTCAGGAGCAGGTCCTTCAACTCCAGGGCCTGGATCCCACCGTTGAAAGCCGTTCTGAAGTAAGCAGCACTTTGCACACTTAAATTAGGCAGCTTCGGAAGAGGCCCAGTGACACAGAAATGCAAAGCGATCTCTTCCTCTCCACCAGAAGTGGGTGGCGGGGCCCTGGGGCCACACAGGCGGGGGCCCAGCTGTTGTGAAGTCCCAGTGTATAAAACATAAGTCATAAAGTGAATTCAGCCAGAAAGTATTGTAAGTGAGCAATCTGAAGTAGGGAAAATTCCATCAAGAGTCAGGGCAGTAAAAGACTGTTTCTCTGGTGAGGCCTAAAACTCATTAGATGCATTCAGATGTGTGAGTGGATGATTTCCAAAATTCTTCAGTCTAAGGCACTTTTCCATCTTTGCTAAGAAAATGTGATGGAAATCTGCCCAGGCTGTCAGATGCAAGCGCTATTAATTTTGCTTTGCTGATTAATCTCTCAGCCTCCCCTCGGGATCTGAGATTGGAGAGCTGAGGGAGGCTGTGCAGTCCCGATGTCTGAGCACCTGAGCTCAGCGACTCGCAGGGCTGCTCTCATCGGCCCCCTGGTCCTGCAGCCACTGGTCTTCTCATTCTTGGGGAAGCGAAATAGTTTTTCTTCACACGAGCGCCGGCAGGAGAGGGGTCTGCAGCCTGGATGGAGCCTGTGGCCTCCTTAAGCCTGGGCAGGGCAGCTCTGGGTTCCTGGCGTCATGACAATGGTGGCTGGGGGCCTCTATCATCCCGTGCCTCACAATGGTCCTCAGACACCACACATAGGAGGCCATGGTGCTGGCCCGAGAGTGGTCTGCACTGGGCAGGACACGGCCTGGACCCGAGCCCGGGCTCTGGGCAGGTAGAGGCCAGCCACAGGGTCTGAAGGTACAAAGTCTGTTGGGTCAGTGAGGACAGGAGCCACAGGTCACCCTGGCCCAGATAGGGCTGGCCGTGTCTCCCAGAGGCAGCACCAGACTCTGACGCGTCCCAGGCACTCACCTGGCTGGGCTGTGTCTCCCCTGTTGGAAGGTTTGCCCGAGGCGGGGATGTCCTGAACCTCGCACTGTCTTGGCCTGATGGTGGAGAAGGGCCAGGTGAGTGGCATGGAGGCCCCTGGGTCCCTGGGGAGTGTCCTTGGCGTGACCAGGTGTCTGGGTCGCCCTCCTGTGCGCCCGTCTTGGTGCTGCCCATAAAGCACCTGCACTGGTCAGTGCAGCACGGGACATGAGCACACATCACCACGCACTCTATAAGGGCTTGCACTTGTCTGTGTGTCTGTGTCTGTCTGGAAATACGCAGATCTGATGGGGGATGTGTTGTTTCGCTTACTGTCCCAATTCGTCCTAACCCAACTGCTGTGCATCTGTCTTCAAGGAGACACTAGGTGACAGTGGTTGCCATGGAAACAGTACTTCATCAGCACTGCCCGTGCCATCTCTAAACAAATGAAAACACGCCGGGCTGCAGCTTCCTGCCCTATGGGAGTGGAGCAGCCACTCATTACCGAAAACGCACCTTAAAACCCGCAGGCCACACTGCTGACCGTGCAGAAACGGGGTGTGGTTGACTTATGCTGAGCAACTTGAGTCAACTTTAATAAAACATTTAACCAACTCAGGCACAGGAAGGGTCGCCGGGACCCCAGAGCCACCCATAGGGGTCAGCAGCCAAGTCAGAAGCCTGCACCCAGAGCCCACGGGCGGCCGTGGGTGGTGCATAACGGGAGGGCACGCGGAGTGCGTGTCGATGCTGCCGTGTCCACTTGTGTCCCTGGGCACACAGACGTTGTGCCTCTGCAGTGTGCTGTGGACAGCCGCCCGTGCAGTTGGTCAGCATCGTGCAGCACTGCGTGGTGACCAGTGGGCAGCGTTAGCGCGGGACTGCAGGCCACGCCAGAGCCACAGTAAAGCGTGACTTTATTTCTGTCTTTGCAGAGGAAGAAGGTGGAGACCTGGCCCAGCCGGGCCTCAGCTTCCCAGGGCCTGCGGAGGAGGACCTAGGTAGGATGCAGATGCCACGCGGGGCTCCCTCCACACACCAGGTGTCATGGCCAGGAGCGGGGTCCTGGCAGGATGGAGCAAGTGGGGCTGGGGGTGTCTCAGAGAGCCTGTTTTGGACACCGGGAGCCCTCAGCGAGGAGAGGCTGGGCTTCCTGGGGTTAGGCGCAGGTGGCTGCTGTGGACTGAGGTAGGCTGGTCTCCTCAGGCCTGCCCACCCAGCCTCAGCCCGGAGCCGCCTACGGCACTGCATGAAAGCCGGCAGCCTTTGCATCATGCCTGCTGCTGCATTCTCCATGTGAAGCCGCAGGTCCCTCCCGGCCCACAGCAGCCCGGTTGGCCTGCAGTGCCGGCTGTGCTTCCTCTCGTGGGTCCGGGTGCCAGCCACATCTGACCTTCCCTGTGCTGGTCAGGGTTGCGTGGGACGTCACTCTCCGCCACCACAGATCCGGGTGGTAGCACCCACCGCGCGGAAGGGCAGATGCACTGTCCTGGGCAAGGGGCGGCACAGCACCTGGAGAGAGCCCGAGCCTTAGTCCTGCTGGGCCAGGGGCCTGGCAGGTGAGACCTCCCCTCACCAGCCTCAAGCTCCACACAGGCTGGGGGCTGCAGACCAGACAGACATCCCAAATCCCTGCTGGCGCTGAGGCCCCGGGGACCTCAATGTGTGTGGAGCCGCCGAGACAAATACAGAGCTGGAGTTGAGTTTGCAACTCTCCTCCGTGGAGAGAAGGAACAGTGTGTGGTGTAGATGCCCACTGGGCAGTGCCATGGGGCCCACGACCCCAACCCCTCCTCTGGAGCCCCTTTCCAGCCTCAGAGCCCAGACCATGCATGTCCTGTCATTTAGGGAAGAAGACTGAGGGGAGTGCTCAGCTGGCCTCACCTGCCTGCCCACCTGGGAGGAAGCCCCCGTCCTGACCAAGGACAAAGACAGGCAAGGCTGGGGCACCTGTGACACCCCGGAGCATGGAGTTCCCTGCAGCCCCTTGTCAGTTATGGCACAAGGGCACCCAAGCTCTGGGGACTCACATGGACTTCCCACCCTGTCACCTGAGAGCTGAGGGGGCTTCTTGTCTGGTTCCCGGAAGTCCTTACTCATGGGAGGCAGCACTTGACAGAAATCTATGGGCTGATTGGCTGATTCAAACAACTCAACTTCTCAGGCTCCGTAATGGGACCAAATGTCCCTGTGGATCACATGACAGGCAGGGCCTGAAGACCTGGTGGTGTTGGAGAAAGGAGCCTGTGCTGTGTGAGCCACCAGGGGCCCAGGTGGACATGGTGCAGCCCGGCCACACATGCAGAGCACCATCTACCCCTCAGTGAGCAATGGATCACTGCCGTCGAGAAGTGGCTTCTGTGATCTGGCAGTGGAAATGCTCCTCGCTGTGTGACCTCTTCTGCGGCGCAAAAGCCAGAGGGTGTATGCACTTGAGGAGGCGATCCCCAAAGCCTGCCGTGGACAGGTGTATGTGCTGATGGCAGTAGCATATGGCTGACCATGTTCACTCAGCAACTTGGTAGTGAGGATGTGCGTGCGGGCTCTCTTCCCACAGCTGTGCTACCAGGTGCCACGGCATGTGGCCAATCTGTGCAGACCCAAGATGCTCTCCACCCAATGCCTGGGCTCCCACCACCACCTTCGTACATTGCGTCCATGGTCCTGGAGGCGGGAAGCCTGAGCTCCGGGCGAGAGTTCCCTCCGTGGCTGGCTGATGGGATCTTCCTCCTGTGTTCCTGCTGGCCATGCTCTGCAGGCCTGGGTCCAGATCTCCTCTCACAGGGACTCGGTGTTGTCAGAGTTGCTGAGGAGTAAACGCTCCTGCCTCCCCCAGAGTTCGTAGGAAGCTGAAGCCCTAGGGCAGTCTCGGAGGTGAACCAGAGCCCTCTTGCCAGGCTGGGAGAGGAAGCCAGGGCCTGGGTCCCCTGCACCTTTGCCAGGTGAGGATGGCAGCAGGGCACCATCGTGGGGGTGGAGCAGCCCTTTCTAGCACCTGTCTTGGTCTTCCAGGCCTCCAGCCTGCAGAAGTATGAGGAGCCGTTCCCATTGCTTTGAAGATACCCACCCTTGGGTATTTTGTTGCTGCAGCACAAAGACCAGGCCCACCCTTGCTCCTACTTTGACTTCCATCATCTCTTACAGGGTCTCCAGACATCATGCCCTATGGTCCTGGGGCTTAGGTGCAATGGGAAGTCACAATTCAGTCATCGCACTCATGTTGCAGATAGGCGACCTCAGAACACCTGGGTTGTAGCTGCAGCTCCTGGAGTTGTCTTCAGTCCTGGCTCTCCTTTCCTTCCTGTGTGAGAACAGCACAGTTAGCACAGGGGTGTGGTCACCTGACACAGACTTGGGCGAGCTCTGCTCTGACCCCAGCCTTTGACGTCTAGGCAGGGGCCAGGGACAGCACAGCTATGCTGCACACCCAGGAGCTGGCTGCCCGACCCCCTGCTCTGATCCTGCAGTCTTGTCCTGGGCTCCCTGTCCTGGGGATTTCTAGAGGAGCTGAATCCGGCCAGCCCCATCTTGGGCTCTACAGCAGGGACTCCAGGCAGTGATGAGAACCCCGTCCATCTGCCCCAGGACAGGAAGGAAGCCTTTGCTCTCCTGTGGTTTATTTGAATCCGGGCTCCAGCACCTTCTGATGCATGGAGACACTGCATTACCACGAGAAGTCACCTGACCTGGCCCACACGCCCCGCCCCAGCGACCACCACCTTGGCTTGGTTCCTGCACACCTGGTTAGTGTTTCTTCATGCAAACCGGAGCAGAGGAATCCGCATTCCTCTTCAGCACCACACTCTCTGACAGCCTGGGGCGTTTCCTGTGTAATTACTCCAGGAACCCCATCTCCTGTGCCTCGGAGAGGCCACTGTGGAGTTAGACAGCAGTGTGGCGCCATCTTGGCCTCCTGCGTCCTTGCCCACGGGACATCAGGCTTCAAGGTTCTGTCCTCTGTCCTCTCATCTGCACCTCTGGCCAGCCCCGAGCGGAGTGCGCAGTTCTGCTTCTGCTGCTGTGATGCCCTCAGCCCCTTCCCCTTCTTTGCCCGTTCACTTGGTGACCTTTTTCTTCTGGATTTCTTAGCCAAATTTTGGGAGATTGGGACTTTGAGGCTGATTTAAGTAGCAGATCAGGTTGGGTCTGGTGGAGGGAAAAGGCAGTGGGTGGTCCTGGGCTGCCCGGGGCACTCAGTTCGTCCTGCGGAGGCCACACCTTTACCCAGGGGCATCCTCCACCCGGGAGCAGGGGCTGCTGTACCCTGGCTGCCACACAGCCACAGAGGCTGACAGTGCCAGCTCTACCCACTCTTCAGGAAAGAATGAAAGCATCGGGATATGCAGCAGCCCCGGGCTGGCGCTGGAGTTGAGATCTGAGCAGACTCCAGCAGCCAATCTGAACCAGGAGAAGCAGCAGAATATTGAATATTACCACTGACAGAGCTTGCCAGGCGAGTTGTGAATATTTAAATAGTTGCAAGGCCTCAAAGACATGCGCTTGGGCAAACAGACATTCGTTTCTAAACATGAAAGGCTGGAAGATGGATGGAAGTTGCTTGATTAAAACAGGAAGCACCCAGATGCTCTCTCCACTGGGACAGCAGCAGGCTGCAAACGCCACAGCCTACACTCTGTTCCCAGGGTGTTCTGTGATCAGTCGCCAGCACCTTCCCATTCTGGTCCTTGCACCCTGGTGAAGGTCTCATCAACAGCCATGCCACCAAGAGGTGTGATCAAAATATATGGCGGATGTTTAAATTCCTTAAAAACTCACAGTAAAAGGCACATTACCATCAGTCCCCCGCAGGATACCCCTCCCTTAGACACACTCATCCATCATCCTCGCCACTTTCTGAGGCAGTTCTAGAAGTCCTCTCTCCTGGGGGTCCTGATGAAGTATAATCAGAAATTCATGACTACTCCTTCCCAGTGTCCTCCAACCGAAAGGCAGGCTGTAAAAACACCTCTGTGTGTCCACATCCACCGTACTTACCAGATCGGGCGCCATGCAACTTCAGGCTCTTCCTCAAAGTCAAAATGACCACGAAAGGTAAACATTTTGAATTGATTCAGGACATCGAGGCAGCCATGACAGCACAAACAAAGATATGAAAGACCTCCAGAACTGCTTCAGAAAGTGGCCAGAATGATAGGATAAGCAAGGGGGAATATTTTGAGGGGATTAGTGGTAATGTCGCTTTTACTGTAATAAAATCTTAATTTAAACATACACTGTATTTTTCAACCACATTGCATAAGTAGGCACCATCTGACTACTTACGGCTGGATAGCATGGTTCTTTAAAATTTTTTCTTTCTTCTTTTTTATTAGTCTACGTTTGCAGTACATGATTACATTCATCATAGGGAGTTAGTACATGCGTGTAATACATCTTAGTTCTTTATTTATTCCCTTTCTGCCCCTTCCTTAAATCACAGCATTTATAACAGGAATTGTAAAATGTGCCTGTCACCTTGAAACTTAAAATAAATTTAATTTGATTAACACTTGAAGTTTATGAAATGAGAAAGCCATCGATACTACTTTAAAAATCACCACAAATTGTATTTCCAAATTATATTTGCTTATGAAACAATTCTCAAAAGCAAATGGGTTTAAAGCAGTCTTCTTCTCTGCTAGATTCTGGTACATGCCTTTGGGAGTCATCATAACTTACACATTTTTGTCAAAGCCAGAAAGAAGATAATCACCAAAATCTTTAGGAAAGGTAAGAGAAAAGACTGATTAGTTTAAAGAGTTTATGATTTCCATCAAAGGGAATTCAGGTAGAAAATGTTTGGGAAACAATTATAATTACTTTTGTGAAGCTTAACTTACATTTCACAGAAAGATTTCTACTACAGAATGTAAGTTATGACCTTTGGCCTTGAAAATAATGGGATTAGGTTTATAACTACAAGTAGTTTTCTTCTATGGTTTGGAAACCATTGTTTTTTAGTGTTACAATAAAGATCTGTATAGAAGCTATTTGTTAAGCC